TATGCAAAAAAGTGTTGGCTAGCGATCTGCGAAAACCAGAGATCGATATCTCTTTCTATGGGGGAGTTATTCAAAATTTAGTCAGGGACATTGCTTTTTGAAAACGATAATAGTATTCAATAAAAGAATATTGGAAGAAGGACTTGGATTACTGATATGGCTAGAGATCAAAAGTTGATAAAAAGATGATGACATTATTTGTGGATGATCCCCATGTCCTACCTGATCGATCCACCGAAGGCGAGCATGCTCTACGCACTTGAGGTGCCACCGAGCGGTGGTGACACCGGCTTCGCTAATATGTACGCCGCCTACGAGGCGTTGCCCGATGATCTCAAGCGGCGAGCTGCGAAATTACGTATTAAGCATGATGGAACATACAACAGCGGCGGTTATTTGCGCGCCGGTGTCACCGCAATCGATGATCCACGCGTCTCATCGGGAGTGTTTCATCCGCTGATTTGTACCCACCCGGAAACCGGTCGATGCTGCCTCTATCTTGGACGTCGTCGTAATGCCTATATAGAGGGTCTCTCACTTAAACAATCCGAAGCCCTTCTCGATGAGATCTGGTCCTACGCCACCCGCAGAGAAATCGCTTGGTACAACCGATGGCGGGTGGGCGACATTGTGCTGTGGGATAATCGCTGCACTATGCATCGGCGCGAACCGTTCGATCCCGGTGCACGTCGCATCATGCTTCGCACTCAGATCAAGGGGGAGACAAAACCGACTGCTTGAATCGAACACATTATATGTGGTAAAAATTTTGTTGCTTAATATCAAGTGAATTAGGATATACAGCTTGTGCGGAAGATAACAGTCATTCTAAGACAAGAAATCGTTTTGATTTGTCTTTTAGAGACATTCCGTGACTCTATCGAGAAACTATCCGAATATGCCAACACTGAATTTAAATATGAAATCAGACTTTTAAAATGTTTCTTCGTTACAGAGAAAAGTGTACCTCAAGTGCCTATATATGTCCTTGTTATATGATCATACAAAGGCTTGCCGATTTCCGTAAATAAGAACCCATTTGCAGAAAACGACCTCTCGTAATATGTGGTTAGGTGTCAGCTATGAAACGATAAGATCAAAATATCAAACTTACTAGTGGGCAGATTTGATACCTTTATGTACAGGGTCCTTTGTTCTTATATACGTGACAAAAATGTGTTCTTATTTCTTCAATAACTTGTTTGGTTTCTTATCACGAAGTGTAATATATTCTTGTATATAACGGTACATAACTCGTGTCATAAGCAAAACTTCACATTTCGTCTTTGTATGTACAATGTATGTAAGTTTAGACTTACATACACTTTAAACTGAGGCACGTTCTTCGAACGTTTTCGAGAATTGAAAGTAAAATTTAGAGACAATTAATTTCAAGTTGGGATGTAGTCAAAGGGTTTTTTTAAAGTGAAAACGATGTGTGATCAGACTAGGAATCGACTGCGGAACTTTGGCATTCAGAATAAGCGCTCTGATCGCCGAGTTATTTAGTGCAGCATTAGTATAACAGGTCTTCTCACTATGTGGATCTCTACTTTTTCTTCGACTAACTTTGTGGACATGAAATTATTGCTACCTAAAATCTACCAGCACACTTCCATTCATTTTCTATTGAGACTTAATTTGCGAAAAACTCAATGTAACAAACTCCATATTTATCAAAAGATCCATCAAAGAGCTTCTTTACTCACTTAGAACTTCCTTTGAAAGCTCAAATCAATTACGTTGAGTCTCGTGACAATATCTGTTTTTAGAACGAAAGTCAAAAAACTAGAAAAAATAAGTTTTGGGTGTTTTTAACGATTATCTTTCATGGCGATTTTGGCCTCTTTGTTTTTGGTTATGAAAAATTCTGATAGGAAGCGAGCGTCAGCAAGCGAATACAATTTATCTATCAAAGCGGGAAAAAAGTCTTTGTTGTTGGTTAGCTATCCATTTTTCGATATATTCATATATTTCAAATCGCCAAATTTATTACATAACGTGACTATTTGCATTGTGAATTAAACGGTGAAAGAACGCAGTCTCATACAAAAACATGTTATTCGAATGAAAAGCGTTTTCAGCTTTGGTTCATCTCCACAATTTAATCGAATATAGTGAAGGTGACTTAAATGCACCACCAAGAGTTCGAAGCATTTTTATCGATACTGTTTCGTGCATATCAACGTCTAAACTGTACAGTTTTGTCATTTTATTTATTAATTTTGTTAAAATTTTCTCCGCTTCTCGGTTAGTTTTAATCGCGATCGATAGACATTCGATATTTGATAATACGTCGCAGAATCGCGATACTTGGTCCACTGTCATATATCCTTGAACGGAACAATTATAATTTCGCATTTGTTGTTTGAGCGACATGCACAGTTTGTCATCCTTCATATAATATAACAAATCCTCATACTTTGTTTCAATTGAGCACAAATTTGGCGAGCTTTTGAATATCGAACGAAGTACATACACCGGAAAACGATTATTTAGTTTCAAATGAGTTATGTGATGAAAGAGATCAGCATTGCCCAAATTATAAACCGATTTGTTACAGTTTTCTAGCTCAATCGAATACACATTTCGAAATTTTCGAGTAACATTTGTGGTTGATCGGCCAGCTTTCAGGTGTAAAACTTTGTCGTACATATTGTGCTTATTCATTTTTTCTGTAGAGAGTATGCTTTCACCCGCTTCGAAAGTAACCTTTGGATATGGTACGGTATATACATGATATTCATTTGAAAAATCAAGATAGTCATATGCAATGATCCACTGTCGGTTTTTCCAAAAAGAGGTTTGATAAGTTTCGAGATATTCTGCAGAAGATATGGAAAAACTGCTTGATGATATTTTGATATCAAATTCGAAGTTTTTCAAATACGGTAACGTTTCAATGAGCGTTTGCCAACGGTCGCCCGTGATGAATTCACAGTTCCAAACGGAAGAGATAACGAGATATTTTAAATACGGCAGGGATTTAACGAGAGTTTCAACATTGCTAAGTGAATAGCATAAAAGATTTAATTTCAAATAAATTAAGTGGGGTACAAGACCGGATAAACTATCAAACTTTTTAAAGGACTTCACCGAACTTGATAATAGTGTACAGGCAAAATATTTCAATTTTGGAGTAGAAGAGAATAATTCATGTAAATCGTCTATATGGTAGTTATCGAGTGTCAATCGCTCCAAACTACTCGAACTGTAGAGAATTTGATGCGATATTTGACTGTCACATATGATGTGACACGATTTTAACGACGCTTTAGACAATACGAGATCCAATATTTGTTCTTTTTGTTTTAAACCTTTGATAGTCGCAAAGAAATACGTGAGTTTGTCTTCTGCCAGTGTCAGAGAAGATCGGGCTTCGTCGAGCGTCGAATCGATTAACGTTAAACATTTTAACTGTGACAAATTTTGAATACCGGTTCGATTGACAAATAAATCTATTTGACCCCATGTAAAATTGTTTGACATTTTTAACGAGTGAATGCGGTTAGAGAAATGCGCTAAGATTAACGAGCAATATGAATCAAATTCATGTTTACGAGTATTTGTGAAGTGAATATTTAGTTTGCACGAATCAATAATGCAATTAAAGCGAGAGTTGATATCGTAAAAACAGTTGAAAACATCAATACCGTTCATGAGCTCGAACAAATAGATGAGCAATTCATTAGGTAAGCTTTCCAAAACGAGCATTTCTGGAAGTAATAAATAATGTTAAGTAGACTTGTCCTACAAGCTGAGATATAGTCAATAAAGAAGATTTGTTAACTAAGAAATGTCTGATGGGTCATATTGACAGCTCATTGTAGCTCTCGTACCACAGGAAATATAAAGGATTCTGCGCGGCCTATGAGAACAGCTATTTTTATCATAGTCCTACCATGGGTGAGATTACTAGATAAAAGATCTTTTCCCCAAAATTCTGCGATGAGCCTACTGGAAACGAAACAAAATTTTTAGTTAGTTCGTCTTCTCGCTCGCTTCTGTCACCTGAATAGTGATATGCAACGAGTTTATCTGTTTTCTTTAGAATATGAGAGAAATCTTTTGAGAAGAATTAAGGTGCGCATAATGGAAAAGTTCAGCAAAATTTTTTCTAACTTATTATGCTTCTTTCGGTAGAATGCATCGAGCTGATTAAACAAAAGTATTTTTTACCGTATTTAAAAAAATTTTCATGCAAAAAAGTCAAAAAAATCGAGCAGCATAAAATCTCGGAAAATGATGAATTTTTGAAAAACTTTCGATATCTCGACCTCAAGTTATTCTAAAAGCCTAGAACTGATTTTTTTCAGATTTAGGATTGAAATTTGAATATACAAAACCAACCTTCGAAATTTTAAATCAAAAATGAGTTGTAGGGGATCACTGGAATCAAAGGTTCTTAACAGATTGTCCGTGAGAAAATCCACCTGCAAAGGGAATAGTGACCAGAACTAAAATTTTCTTTTTGTTCTTAGTATGCTAGTTCGAACGAGCTCATCGAAAAACTTAGAAATTCAAGATATCTCGCCTTCGTATGGCACTGTTCATGAATTAGGTGAGCTTAACTTTGTAATCATCATCAGAAGCTCCATTTGTGGATGAAATCAAGGTTTCTTTAATATCTCAGAAACAGCTTGATCCTTTCTATCCTACATGACTACGTAATTCTTTTCGAATTTTCGCGCTGAAAACATTATCGAGATTTTCACAAAAAAAATGAAAATCAGCTAAAAGTTTCGAAATACACATCAGTCGACTCAGTTTTGGATCCTGATTCCGAATATAATATAGTATTTTTGTTGCATAAAACTTGAATTCCGATAAAGAAAAGTGAGAGTTACGAGCACAGTTGTGAATTTTTTTTCGCATCTTATTTAGAAAAAATGCATTTTCTCAGCAACGGAAAGGAATTTTTATAAAAAAAATCTGTATCCCGATCAGGATATCAAAAGGTTTTTGTTGGTCGATGTAATTTCTTACTTCACATTAACATGTTTATCGTCAAATCTAATTAGTTTGAAAGGGAACTTTTAATCAATACAATGGAATCCCATGTAGTTTTTCGAGCTCTTTTTAATGGTAAGGTCAATTTTTCCCCATAACATCGTCCTTCTTCCTTCAATCGTTTTACGACGAAATTTTGGGCCTCATATCCCGATCAAGATATAGGAGGTGTTCCCTTACTGCCTAGCAATGGTCAGATTCCTACATTTCAGACAAATTAGCTTTTTTCTTTATGAAATGTGCATAATTTCATTGGGATACGCTGCAAATACAGCAAAAGTCTGGGTTTTTTTGGATCCTCGGTAAGCAAAAAACTACTGAAGACGGCCGTCATGACTAGTCCGAAATGTCGGTATATCTCGCCACGACTAGTCTGGAACGTCTCTTTCACTCGTCATGATTAGTTCAGTTTTTAATAAATGTCCGTATAACCGGACTGGTCTGGAATGTTCCTTCGACCCGTCATGGCTAGTCTCTTTTGTCCTCTATACCCCTACCCCTGTAGATTAGTCTAAAGAAGAAAAAGATGATATGAATAATTCCATGATCTTGGTTCGAACCATTACAGCGTCTGCACAAAGAAACAGACGCCCGGATCGGACGAACGTCTGGTAAGTTGTTCCAGACAAATACCATTGTGCCCGTCAACAAGCATTTTCTGATTAGTCTTTTGGGAAAATATGTACGATTCAATTATGCATAGAAGTATATGTGGCATTTTGTAGAGCGCA